GAGAGAATAGAACCTTTACTATGTGTTGTACATGATTCCAGCTGTATACTCTCTATTGTAAGTAGAAAAAATTGTTTTTTGATACAATATCTATTTTGATAATTATTTTTTATTTTGTGACTACATTAATTCTTTGAATAATGTTGAGTAGTATAATTAGCTTCTCCACAACATAAGTACAACCCTTTTTGTCAACATCAAGCTTTTTTTTGCTTAGTGAGAAGTTTAAAATATACAATATAAATTTATATTTATTCCAACCTTAATAAAAAAAGTTTCAAAAATTTTAAGAACTATCATTGTTGTATTGTAACATGACTATATGGTGAAAGAAGATAATATGGATCTTATTATAGAAGAACCAAGTAAAAATATAAAGTAAAAAAAATATGGATAAAAGATAAGAAGATAGTAAAAATTTTAGAAGTAATGTTACTTTTTTAAAAAAGTGACTTCTACTTACTTTGTTGGATCATAAATAAGGAAAAATAAAATAGATTAGAAAAATAAAGAATATGAGCATTTAAAAAAAGAGATTAGGAGTTGATTTTAATAAAAAAATTAACTAAAAAAGATAAAATTTGATATCCAAAGAGGGCTAGTTATCAACTTGGGTTGAAATCAAATCTTGAGGCACAAAACCAAACATCTATGACAATTCAAAGGTTCGTTTGCAAATCAAAGAATGGAATTTGATAGCTGACTAGATAAGGTTTTTATGAGCATTGGTTTTGCATAATTTGGATTTGTAATGACTTTGTAAGAGCTTTACAAAGTCAAGTTTGTTTTTGGATGACTTGGGTTTTGTGAAATAAAATAGGGTTGACATTTTGGACAATTTCAAGAGTTTTGTAATAGATCTATGGATGACATTTTGTGGATTAATGGTTATAATTGTGCTTAATATGTATTATGAATCTTAGTTCGATCTAATAATTGAATTGAGGATTATTGAGGTTTAAGTGGGTCAAGGTCTCAGAAAATAGAATTTTAGGTCTAACGAGGATTTTTAAGATTTCTTGCAATCTACTAATTGGATTAGAGTGAAATTTGTGTGTAAAGATATTAGACTTATTTTTCTATGTATATAAGAATTTTAAGATGAATCAAATGGTAAAAAAGAGAGATATTGGCTCTGAGAGATTGGCATCAAGGTCGGAGAAGGAGGCTAACAAATACCTAAGCATGTTTTTGAGGCTATCGTCTATTTAGTAATTCTAATTATTTTCAAATTTTTTATGCTTTTTGTCAAGTTAATTGTTAAGAAGTGTGTAAATTTAAGATTAAGATCAACAATTCATTAATTAGTAATTGAGGTTTAAATTTGTTGTAGGAATTACTAGGATTTGGTTAGGATTTGGTTTAGAGTTTAGGATTTGGTTACGATTTGATTTAGGATTAGGATTTAGTTTGGATTTTATTTAGAGTTTATGATTTCATTAGAATTTGATTTAGAATTTAGGATTTGATTAGGATTTGATTTAGGATTTAGGATTTGATTAGGATTTGATGTAGGATTTAGGATTTGATTAGGATTTGATTTAGGATTTGGTTAGGATTTGGTTTAGGATTCAAGGTTTATTTTGGGCTTGATTTAGGATTTAGGGTTTGATTAGGATTTGATTTAGGGTTAGGATTTAGGATTTGATTAAGGTTTGCTTTAGGATTTAGGATTTTATTAGGATTTATTTAGGATTTAAGATTTGGTTAGTTTTTGGCTTAAAATTTAAATGAAGTCTAATAGGATTTTAAATAGGATTAAATTAAGATTGAATTGAGATATATTTGAGATATATTTGTAATCATTCTAATATTTTTTTAAGATTTTTTATTATTTCTTTATAATTCTTTTGAGGTTTCTTTGAATTTAATTAAAGCTTGCTTAGCATTGTTATGATATTATTAGAGTTTAGTTAGTATTTTATTAGAATTAGGATTTTGTTGTTACAATTTCCATTCTACCTTCTACAACCAAGTACTCGAAGCATTCTCAAGCAAGACTTCACATATTACAACATTGTTGACATATAATATCACAAATATATGGTAAAAAATAAAAATATGGATGTTATTATAGAAGAGCCTAATAGAAAGATGTAGTAGAAAAACAAAGGTAAATGATAGGAAGGTAATAAAAAGTTTAGTCTTAATGTTGCTTTTTAGAGAAGGAACTTTTGTTTACTTTGTAGTGGCATAAATACCTCAAATTAAAGTAAATGAGATAAGTAATTAATAAAGAAATATTTATCAAAAAAATATCAATAGTTTTAAGTAAAAATTACCTTAAATTACCAAATATTGATACCTAGAAAGGACTAGTTGTCAACCTAGGTCAAAATCAGATTCTCAAGTATAAACTATGTATCTATGGTGATTCTACAGTCCTTTGGTACATTAAAAAATAGGATTTGAGAGAAAATTTGTAAAGAAATTTTTAAGAATTAATTTTATATCAATTGACTTAATATTAAATTTTTGGGAGATTTTTAAAATTAATAATATTCTTAATTGGATTAGATTTTAAAAAATAAAATTATGTTTACAAAATTGAGTGTTTCTTGAGTTTTGTAATGTGTATATAGGTGAATTTTGCGAAATATGTTGGTATTCTAGTTTTTATTGTGTGTAAAAAATTTGAGCTCAATTAGATAGTTAGATCGAAGTGTGTAGAGGTTTTTACAGGTTGAGGTCTCAAAAATTGGAATTTGAAGGTTAGTGAGTATTTTTAAGATTTTTAGAAATTTGTTAATTGGATTGAAGTGAAATTTTTTTTTGTGGAGACTAGACTTGATTTTCCATAGTTTAAATATATTTTAGATGCAATTAAATAATTCAATAAGGAAACATTAGCACTAGAAGTTCAACATTCAGATTAAAGTAGGAGGCTTGCCAACACCCAAGCCTAGGTCTAGGTTTGATCTTCCAATTGGTAAGTTAGATCTTCTTCAAATTTTATATGCTTATTACCAAATTAGTTGTTGAAAGGTATATATAATCTTAAATAAGATCAATTATATAATCAATAGATATTGAAGTCCTAAACTGCCCTAAGGTTAGGTTAATTTGATTAGGATTTAATTTAGGAATTAGGAATTGGTTGAGATTTAATATTTGTTTAGTATTTAATTAGGATTTGACTTAGGACTTAAGTAAAGACTACTATGATTTTAATTAGGATTAAATTAAAATTCAATTAGAATTTTTTCAAGATATATTTTAGATTTTATTTTATTACTTCTTTTGAATTTCTTTAGGATTTTTTCATGCTTCTTTTGTAATTTCTTTGAGGTTTCTTTAAATTTGATTAAATCTTGATTAGCATTTTTAATATTTAATTGGAATTATTTAGAATTTTATTTTGAATAAAATCTTATTATTATAATATTATTTCTACTTTCTACAGTTACTTTGTAGCAGGGTATAGATAAGATAATTATATAGATAGTTAGAACCATGGAAGTTTCTAGAATTGAAGTTAGGTTAGTGGACCAGATAGGAACTACAATGGAACATTCTAGAAAGAGTTTAAGGCATTTATTTAGATAGAGTCTACCATGGAACCTTCTAAAAAAGAAATTTAAATCGATTATCTAAGTAGGATACATATATGTATATATATATATATATATATATATGTATATATGTATGTGTGTGTATGTATGTATATGTAAAAATATGATATGACATATCATATTTTCAATCAAGTGGCTAAAAAGTAGTATTTTAAATAAAGAAAAAATAAAATAAAATAAAATTCAATCAAATTAAAAAAAATTGTATTGGTTTTTACTAATTTGTGATATATACATGCATTATTAAAATTTAATGAAAATAAACTAAAGATTTAGCTAAAGATGTTCATGTATATATATAGGCATGATTATTTTACATATAATTGTTTTAAATAATCAAACATTACCACTCAAATTTTAATAAAATCACATGAATTATGTAGATGTAGTATAATAAATAATAACATATATGATTAAACAAAACTAATTATAAATTTATAAACAATCATGTCTTACAAATTTCTTTCTTATATATATATATATAGATATATATATATATAGACATATCTATGCAAATGAATAAATAATACATAATAACCACAAATATGTGATTTATTAAAATAATTTTAATATTATACATATATATATATATATATATATATATATATACATATCTATGCAAATGAATAAATAATACACAATAACCACAAATATGTGATTTATTAAAATAATTTTAATATTATACATATATATAGGTAGGAAGTTGTTAAAGCCACACCCTACATTACCATCTCATGATCAATTTTGTCCATCACCATCTTAGTCCCTTATTTCCTATTCTTATCCTTTGTTCCTTATCTCCTAAAGAATGTATAAAGAGTTATTAAAGCTATACTCCAATGATATTAAAGCCACATTCTCTAAACCACATTCTCTTAATTATAGAAGACATGGGACAAGGGATATGAAATAAAAGATAGAGACAAAAAAAAAAGATGAAATCAATTATATTTAGGAATGTGGGGTGTGGTTTTAACAACTCCTTATATATATATATATATATATATATATATATATTTCACCTTTTTTTTCTTTAACTAATTTATACCACTTTCATTTTTAACAAAAAGTTTTCACACAATATTAAATTCTTTTAATTAATTAGGTTGAATTTGATTCTCATTTGGTTTAAATTGTTATTATTATAAAATACTGCTACAAACATGTATTGATTTTGAGCTTTTACAGTATCTAATCCAAAAAAAGAATTAAAGAAATGATTGTTATGAGTGCTTTGTTGATTGAATTACAGAAGTAGTTTAAATTAATTTGATGGGCTGGTCACTAGAGTTCATAAATTATGGACTTTACTTCAAAAGTGACTGACAATGAAATATATGTGTGTTAATAATTCTGAATGAGCTGCAAATTTTACTGTACTAAAATCTCCATGTGTGGTGATGCAAAATATTGAGTCGACTTAGATCATTGAGCAGTAAAAATATAAATATAAAAGTGCTTGTCAGGATATGTTCCAAAATATCAGTACTGTAGCACTCGTCTCTCAATTTAACTGAAGCAAGTGTAACATCCGTTCTAACAATTCGGCATACGCATGTGATTACATAAGTTCATAATTTTTGAATCGCTCTACAAGAAGAGGCAATCACATGAACGACTAAGTATATTAACAATACATAAATGTTTGATTTTTCCATCACTTGTAGAGAATTGGAGCAGACCTAAATTCCCGTCTCACTCACCTCAAATAGCCATATCCTCCTCACTGTCCGAATCCGAATTCGAATTCGAAGAATCAAGGGCATCCTCAGGTCGGTCATGTTCCAGCGCTCTCGGCAAAGTACTCTTACTGTGAGTGTTAACTCGAACAGTGCTGCCGAATATTGCTGATGGGAGAGCAATCTTTGCTATTAACAAGCCAAGTGTGATGGATAATCCAACCATGACCATATCAAAAACAAAACCCAGACCGGATAGGACATCGTCTCCTAGCATGCGAGTCACACCCTGCACACCAATGCCGCCTGGAACAAGCAACAAAATACCCGACAGAACCATCACGAGAGGTAAGTCTCCAGTGAACCGAGAGTAAGTCGTGCCGGTGATCCCGACTGCGAAGGCAGAGATGACGGAAGAAGCACTTGATGAAAGCTTCAAGCCTGTCACCTCGGAGACGACGTAACCCACAAAGGATGCCAAGGTCATGCCAGGCCACTGATCTAGCCTCGCATTCAACAATATGTTGGAGGAGAGTGTGTAGGCACAAAACCAAACGAACTTGAGCCAGAGAGGAAGCGTTGGAGATACGCATTCAGCAGTCACTGGTTTAGGGGCCCACACGACGAGGTTCTCACCCATGGCGAGTCCAAACCCAAGCTGTAGAGCTGAGAAGAGAGCATTCATGACTCGTGACGTCCCAGTCACGTGAGACTTTGCCACCATCTCGCTCACACCGAGGGTCAAGGACAAACCAGGTAGAAGTTGCACAAGGGCGGATAGTGCCATTGCGAAGAAGCAGAGCTCATAACTCTTGAAATAAACTTGGAATGTCCGAGCAAGAAAGGAGACCACGAGAGCGGCTGTGAACTCAAATACACTTCCGTAGAGATTTGATCTCGATGCAAGGATGTCCAATATACCGACTATAAAACCGAGAAGAAGGGAGAAAAGCGCGTCCCAGAGACTTCCATTGAAGAAGAGCAGCGACGACATGGATCCTGAAAGAGAAAATCCAAATAGTTTCCACCATTTGCCGAATTCAGGGGGAGCACTTGCAATAGCCTTTAATCTCCAATATGCTAGTAGTAAAGGGGCACTCTCTTGTCCAACTCCATTTGCAAGCTCATCCGCCCGACCCAGCTTGTCAACATCAAGGTCTGGGTCGACTTGGATCATATAGATTTCCTTCTGATTAGGATCATGTAAGTCGACCCCTACATAAATGATTAACCAAGAATAGCAGCAGCATCAGTACATTGAACTTGCCTACACTCATCCATGTATCTGCAAATGGCCTACAAAACATGAAGACTCCCCAGCAAATCATACCTGGAAAGGAGAGCAGAATCAGGGATGGGAACACTGATATATTCGCTTTGACGTTCAATTTGTCTGCTGCCTTGTCAATTAAGTACTCGGTGCGAGAAGCCGAGCTTCCATAAGAATGTAGAGCAATCGCCAGACGTATAAGAAACCGTCGGCGTAGTCCTGGGCTAATTCGTGTCGGAGGTTTCTTTTTCATTCTAGAGATAATTTCAGCTTCTGAATACAACCTCTTTTTGATATTTCCTTTACGGCTATTACCCGAAAGGCTGCTGGATCCATCCATCGCGGGATGATTGCTGTCATCTCGGTGACCTGCCTTTAACAGCTTCTCCTTCAAGTTGTCGGAAAACATGGCTGCTCGGCTTCAGATTTTTCTGTGTTTTTTAAGCCCGCATTTCGTGAAGGTGGCAAGCTTCTAAAAACATGAAGAAAAATGCAACATACCGCCTGCTATGCACAGAGACGAATCCGAAGGTTACACAGGTCAAACCACAAATTTTTGCTGCTAAGATTTTGAATCATGCATGCACCGAAGCAATCTGTTAAGAGGGAGCTATTAGAAATGATAGTGAATTTTCCTTCACAGACGTGGCAACCGACTAATTATAAGTACACTGTAATCCAGATTCTTAATCTCCAGTGCAGTAAAAATAGCAAGAGAAGGCTCCTGTGTGCTGTTCTGCAGTTCAGGCAACTATGACTAAACGCTGGTGATTTCTTATCAGCTCAAATCTATGATGATCGCTACAGTATCTACTAGTGTAATTCTGCTCCATTTCTCCCTATGATTTCGTTTCAGGATTTAGATTTTCTAAATCTTACTAGATCTCACTTAGCCTCGGAAACAAATCTAAAGAAGTACTATCTACCATTAAATTCGACGTTGAATTTGTTGATATACAACCTGGTACGACAATAACAAAGTATGTACTTTCTATGAGCCAGATGGTCGTAAAAAGTATATAGCCTTATAAGCAACAGATACATTTCAACCTCACTACTGTCGTCAGCCTAAAAGCCAAGAAATGCAGTGCTAATACACGGGAAGCTATACTCATGTCGCGTAAGAGGAATTTTTTTTAAGTTCATAGCTGACAACGTGCGCAGCAAACACCACAAACACCTTTGCAGAGGTAACTATGATCATTTTTCTGACCTATCTAAAACAATAAGAAGCATCTTGACAAGGTCGTTTAGAACGTAACAGCTAAAAGCATTGTGATATTTTCACTAAAATCTATTCGAAAGCTTCGAAGGCCGAAGGAAGATAAACACAGTGCGAGATAAAAAGTATCCACTGAATACAGAGTACACCAGATCATAGAAAAGAACGCTTGAACGACCACCACACAGGGCAACACACTCTTAAAGAATCACACGCATGAAATGATAAGTGATAGTCGCTCATGACAACGAAGGATTCAAACTAGCCCATTTCCCTTCCTCGCCTGTGCTAAACCTATTCAAACGCGCTGCTCCTGCTACAATGCAACAAATCACGACCAAGAAACTCTGGGGGTTGCACCTAAACTTCACCCAATTACAAACTATAATTCCACAAAGCACAATTAAGCGGAGCGCGTAAGTTTTTGGATCATCCATACCACAGGATTGTTTGAGGTGACTTCTGTGGAGGAGCACAGCGTTCTGGAGACTCGTCTTTCAAAAGAAAAGCCCCAAGTTGCCTAAAGTCTTTGGATACATCATGCAACACCCTAGCCGCCTTAACCACTTGACAACACAATTTGTGAAAGAGAAGGGAATTGATGCTCTTCGAGTCCCTGCACTGTACTGTAGCCAAAAGAAGCGGAAAAGGATTGTAGCGACTCGAGCGTGCAAAACATTGACGTGGTCTGAGGTTACGAACAGTTGGGAGACAAGTGGACAAGATGCAGCAATCGACGAAGTAGCGACCGATCATTGCTGACAGTCCATGAAAACCTCATAAAGCCCGGAGTGACGCGATTTCTGCGTCGACGCCTCTGCGCTTGACACTGCAAAATTCTATGCAGCGGTTGACGCTCTAATATTAGAACACACCTCTCCACGGTGTCAGTCCATCTCGATATCGACAAATACCGGCGGACAGGTCAGCTTTCGTTCAACGCTCTCCATGTGCCCTAAATGTGGGGAAGCAGTAACGTTGCGTAGAATTAGTGCTGTGTGTGGCTCATGGTTGTGCGTGTTGGTGATATAGAAATCGTTAGCGGTTGAAGGTTGATTCTCGCAGCAGCACGAGGGAGATGCTATTGGGTTTTGGTAGGTGTGGATCAGAAGAAGAAAATGAGGCGGGATTGATGAGGGATTCTACCTCAATCAGGTTCTGTGGATTGCATTCGCGATCAAAGTCATGGCTGCAGAGAAGGATAAGGTATTGACGGGTGTAGCTGAGACGCTGGCTTCCCAGAGCTTGGGCGATTCTTCTTTACCTGTGAACTTTCATGGTAACCTGGTAAGTGCAAATAGCGACGAGGAGCTTCTGAGTCTCCTCCAACGAGCTAAAATCTCCAAGCAACCTGTGAGTCGATCAGGCCTGTTGTATCTGAATCTTCTTATGCCCTTTTTCTTTCTGTGCCACTACGTCAAGTTTATGTGGGTTGATCCAATGTCTTGGATGTAGCGCCTTGCGACAGTTCTTTAGAAAGCAGCAATTTCACGATTTTAGTTTTCAGGAATTCAGTAACGAGTAGGTCCGGTATTATTTAACTTTTTTTTTTTTTTTTTTTTTTTTTCTCATACCCTACTTTTGCTTACCAGATTCTGTCGATCAGAGACGCCTTAGAATCACTTAATTTGTTGTTAACCCTTGAACCCTCAGTGCTCCTTTCTTATTCCGTTGGGCTGAATCGTACATTTTGATTCTTCGGAGGTCTGCTTGTCCATCTTAGTTTTAGCGTTTTCATTTTACGCTCATAGACCACATTCGGGGTTTTGACCTAATCGGCAATTCATTTACGGGGGTGGCTCGTGCATATTCAAATGGTTGAAAATTTATTTACATTTTGGTTCTTAAATCTTCTTCTCCGAATCCCCAATTTGGTTTTGTGGTGTTATTTACACTCCAAGGGGTCAGTACAATGCACTACGACTGTAACAATGGCGGTTTGAATGAAACTAATTTGTTATTCCCAATTAGGTTCAGAAATTATGTAACATTCTTTTCCAATTTCTTAACTAACGTTGTTATTTGGGTGCTTTTGCAGGCCGTAGTCAACTATGGTGCCCCATGGTGAGTTTCTTTACTCTTCCAGATAGTGCATATCGTTCAAGTATCTACACATAGAGCTCATGAATCTTGCATGATCTTCCAAAAGTGAATACTTGAATGGGAAAATAGTCGGTGGTTTCTAGGTGTCAGTATTGCAGGACTTCATTCTGAACACTTGACAAAGCAACTTTCTCACAACCTTTCTCAAGCGATTTTGGCAAGTGCTCAGAAGCTTTTATTACAACAAGAAGGACGCTCATTATCCCTGCTAATTTGGTATCACCTCTGTGAAGGTGTCATGTATGTCAGCATATGCTGCCTACGTTTTGCAACTTGAGCAACGAGTATGCTTCAGCATTGTTTATCTACGCAGATGTGGACAAGTGTTATGAAACTACAAGAGATGTGCGCTACACCCCAACCTTCCGCTTCTATCGCGATGGTGAGAAGGTAGATGACTTCTATGGTGCTGGTCCGCAGAGACTACGAGACCGAATCTGGCTGCACACTTGATCATCCCCTTTCTGTTGTATCCTCATTGCTTTATTCCACACTAGAGTTGAGTGGTTAGTTATCATTTAGTACAGACAAGGATCATACTTCGTCCATTTCAAGAGGTTGTTTTATTGGACTCGGAATTGCAGACGCAAGGATGCAGCTTCGTCACCATATTCATTATAGCTTTTTAGTCCAGTCCAATCGTATGCACGAACAGTAAAAAATGTGCTTGAAACTCAACCCAAATGTTTGAAGAGCGTCGGTATTAAGAATGTTGTGGTATACTGCGGAGGGCTTGTATCACTTACGATTAAGAACTCAACACTGTTCTTTCCCAGTCAGAATTTGTATTCAAGACGTCTTGTTTCAATGACTTGACCTATGTGAGAAAACAGTGAACATTATTCTTTCCCACGTCATTCATGTCTATACAAGTTTGTTTTTCCTATTGTTATTAGTCCTACAGCATTGGGTTGTCTTGTATACACAAGAAGTGATGATATGGAACTACCTCTAACAACACTGAAGCAGATTAGAAGTGTGACGTGTGTTGCAAGTTACAAATTGTGGATTGATTAACAGACTTTCAACGTGGCAATTCTTTTCCATGATATAAACATGAATGGTATAACTTGTAATGCCCCAATGAAATTCTTTCAATGCACTATGGCAATGACCAATAACCCAAAATATTTGTTTACAAAACAATATTAAGCTACTTTATACTTCATTTCAATTTTAAGAAGAAGCTATAATCTATTACAAATACTTCCACCAACATTTCGCATTACTATGAGGCATATCACGTACTGAGTTAAAAAGCTTTTTCAAGGAAATTTGTTCATAATAGAAGTAGCCACTTAAAAACTGACGACATGTAGGTGTACACCTTGTTATCTACAGAATATGGATGGTGAAATAAGACCGCCTGAAAGCTTCGTTTTTTTTTCTACTTCGCAACCTGTGCCGTGTACTGGAGCTCATGGAGCTACATCAACAGCTTAAGATGATACACAGATCCAAGCAGCACTTATAATACCTTCTATCAAAAATTAAAGAATACATGGACGAAAGGATAGATTTCAAATATCTTTTAGATAAACAAACAAAATAAGCACTACTGATAATTGCAAACCATGCATATGATTACGAAAATTGCATCATAAATATACATGAGCACATGGACACCACTTAGAAATACAGTATAGAGCTTCAGTTTCCAATAGCGACAACTTTAGCGCAGACGTCAATGATCGTTTTGGTAAATAGCGCCAACTTGTCAACAACACAATTTGAAGAATGGCACGCTTCTGATAAAAATTTCTTTGATGAAAAATTGGTGAAGCACTTGGTGTACTCATGTGCTCCCCCTTACAATCACCGCCTCTATTAGTTGTGCCACATGAAAATTTCGTCCACAAAATCCTACCTACAACTGCTGGTTTACACTACCAAAATGTGATAGTTCCCTAGTACCGTTTGGTATCATCTGGTGTAGTCATGCCTTAAGTGATCACAAGAGATACCGCGGGGGACACTAATCCTGGCTTGATACGGTATGGTAGACATAGTTACTAAGATAATGTCGACTAGTCAAATGAAACAGGAATCCTCATGACAACCAAAGTTCAATTGAGCCACTACTAACTGTGGGGGAGGGGAGGGGTGGGGAGCAACTGAGGACCAATTATGATGGAGTAAGAGATGCAGGGACTATGATATAGACGAATTGTATCCTAAGCCGTTTAACAAGGCAATACATGATGAAAATTGAAACTAGAACGACAATTACGTTTCGAAAATCTATTCTTTCTTCTCTTCTCCCTTCTTCTTATGCACCTTCTTCCACTCTTCTGCGCTGTCGATGACTTCACCAGTTTTAAGCAAATACCTAGCCCTGCTCCCATCCTCAAGTGTCTTGTGCCCAACCCTGCTGGCTACCTTGGCGGTTTTTGAGTACAGCATAACATTAGAGCTATGAACAGGTGCTTCAACCTGCAAAATGTCGTCAAAAGAGTGTGACCTGATCAGCAGGCACTGGGAGAACTTGAAACTACATGTAGACATTATCCACCCCATGGTTTTCACATTAATCGTAGTGAACGGGTTTGAATAGCAGTAAGGATTACAATTCCTAAGTTGATAAATACGAAAGGCTCTAGGCTAGACGAGAAATGAACCTGAACAATCTGGCCGCTTTCACCCTCGGCCTTGCCCTTGACGTGCTTTGTTTTCAGATTCACATCCTTGACCATGACCTTGCTGTTGTGTGTGTAGACTTGTGTTACAGCGCCGATTTTGCCTTTGTCATGCCCTGAAATCACCTTCACAGTGTCTCCGACCTTCACGTGCAGCTTTTTCACCACTGGTAAACTGTTTTCTTTCACTTCCTTCCTCTCCCATCGCTTTATCTGTTTTTACCAACGTATGCCATACTTCAGGGCCAGGAGAGAAGTAGAAGTGTTCTTATACATGGACGCACATCACACAGGCCAAAATTGTTTGATCATTCCATTTCATCCAATCGGCATTCAAATCTAAAATACAAAATGGCACTTAAACACTGCTAGTGAAACCTGGTTACCATGGCAAAACTGAATCTATCCAATTCCCAACTTGTCACACAATGTCGCGTCCGAAATCCCAGAAATACAGCACCCAGGTGAAAAATGTGCTGTGACGATAATGAGTTCAGACCTAATGTAGCATAGTGGGACTCAATAATAAATCACGCACAAATATCACTAAAACTAAAACAAGATAAGCTGCAGAGCTTACCCAGGACTCGTCATTCTTAACCAATGTTAGATATGCCTCCACTACAAGAAACTCATGAATGCTAATCCACACAGCCGATAATCTTCTACAAATATAAAGACAACTAAAGTTAAAATTATTAATACGAAAAATTGAGGGATGCCGGAGAGTGTGAAGGAAGACTCACCGCCACTCGGATGCCAGTGCTGAACTTGGGGGATGCCTGCAACTCAAACCCAGAAACCCGTCAGCTTGAAATTCCTACCGTTACCTAAAACTCAATCCTCGAAAACGAACAACCTCAACTCTCATACCGACGCATTATAGAAGTAACCTAGAGCTCCTGGCATCACGCCATCCCTCGTCACAAAGGCATTCGCGACACCGAATTCACCACAAACGAAAAACGACGACCACCACCACCGATGCTCATTCCGCAGAGTGCAGCTCAGGTACACTGTAACGAAACAACGTCCACTCTCTCGCAACACGAAATCTCTTCTCCACAACACCGTCATAACAACGAGCTCAAAGCTGAAGGATTTCACCTGCACGGCAGGTCGCGGCGTGTTAAGGCCAATGCCAGCGATGCCATTGGACAAGGAGTCGAGCTGAAGAGGGGATTGCAAAGCCATGGCCATGAATTTCTGACGCCTCCGCGACGATGCTTCAAATTCCGGCGCTTCTTCAGCTGGTGTTGCGATGGGGCGCGGCTTGCAATCCTGGCAGCAGAAGAGAGCCGGGGACTGAGCGAAGCTTCAACCTTGTTCCTGGGAGTGGATAGCCTTCCTCCATTGATAAATGAACCCCCCCTGCCATGGTTACCGTTGTTTCATTCATCCTCCATAGCTTGTGGATAATGTTTCGAGAGTGCGGTGCCCCATGGGTCCGCCTCTGCCCTGCTGACAGATGTCCCACCTGTGTTTGTGTTAAGTGGTTTTCTTTCTATACATGTGAGTATTATTTTATATGTTTTTTTTTTTACTTAAAGTTCTTGTAAAAATTGATTGAGTTTTATTAAATTTTTTGTGATGCATATTTTGGTGATTAGTTTAAATTATTGTAGCTTGTTCAGAGTTGATCATCTTCATGAAGTATAAAATTTATGAAATTTGCCTCAAACTGAAATTCATGTTGATTATAATTGTTTTTGAAATGGCAAAGGTTGACTAGTGTAAGAGATAAGAAATAGATATATAGATATATATATATATATATAATTTTGGAATAAGATATGATTTTTTTTATTCTATAATTATTATAGAATAAATTTATTGTCTAATTATACTTAAGAAGGTAGAATTAGTTCAATCCGTGTATTGATTAAAAAATAAAAAATAAAAATGAATATCAAATTATAATTATTAAAAAAGTACTGAAAAGATCAAAGATAGCATTGATCTTGTCTTTTTCGATGACATCTTTGTTGAAGCAATAGAAAAAGAGTAAGAAAGTACTAAAAGCATGACAAAGACATTCTCTTTTTAGAAAACAAATAAAGCTGTGACAAAGGATGTACAATGTGGCATAAATATAGAATAAAAAGACTTGTCTTCTACTAAAAGAGAATATTTTATAAGTTAAAAGGAATCACATGGTGAATGGTGGAGATATCACATGTTTTCAAATATAAGAGCAAAGTATGCCAATGTTTTTATGCTTACATTGTGTGATGTCTTAAACTCGAAAGATACAATAGAATAGGATATTTTAATTGCTTATAAATATAAGATATTAAAATTAGAATATTAATTGTATTGCATATTTTTATTACGTGTATTTAATGAATTTTGAATATTTGGTAATTTTTATTATTAATTTCTTCAATAGCCTCAAATATATATATATATATATATATATAAACAAAAAAACAAGAAGACAATATAGAAGTTTCTTAAGGACAAGAAGGCATAAGGATTGAGTGCCTAAGTTAAAGAATCTATCCTTGATATTTACTAAGTTTTTTTTCCACTTACTTCTATTTACTTTTACATACTCTTATTCACTTTAAAATATCTATTAAATTATATATTTATTTTAATTTTAGAAATAAAATCCACACTTAGCAATTAATGCTTTTATAAATATATAGAATTTAAAATGTATCAATTGGTATTTTTTTATAAATGATTATTTATATTCCACACAACAGTTGTTGATTAGTACTTTTAAGTTATTATTGATTTTCTATATTTAAGAAAAAAATCCAAAATTTTAATTATACATTGGATTTTTAAATTTTATTTAAATACCACATCTAAAATGCCATTAAAATGTAGTATTTACTTCAACTAGTATCACGAAGAACTAAGTGTATTTTTTAAGATTGTGGGATTGAAAATGTTATATCTCATCATGTATTTAAATAAAAGACATGTATTTTTTAAAGACCCTTATCTTAAGTTCAATACTATAAAAGTTATAAGCATCTTAACTATTTATCTTGTACTTTTTAGATTATAGTTCTCCTCATAGATTATTTAATTTTCCTTCTATTAAATCAAAATTTGTAAAGAATTAAGAAGTAGATGTAAAAAAAATTTGATAATTAAACTTGTAACTTTTTATTTAATTCTATCTTTAACATAATATTTAGTTATTTTAAAAATATGTGTTGTTATTAAAAATTAAAACATATTTTTGTCACATTATTTAGATTTTGTGCTTGCTTCTATGTTTGATGTTATACTTGTGTCAAGTTAAAAAAATATATATTCCAACTAATTGAAAAATTGTCTTAAAATAAATCTTGCATGCTCTCTAAATTCTTATCTATTATTTATTTTTATTACAAATTTGTCAAAATTGCTTTGTATTTAATATGTTAATGAAAGAATCTTAAAAATAAGATAATTTTTCATTGATCTTCGTCATTGAATCTAATAGCAATATGATTATTTATTTCTTTAAAAAATTAAAAATTTAAGCTTTCAATAATTCTATAAGTGACATATTCTATTGATTTTAATGTTCCAACAATACAATTGCTTCTTGTCACTAACTTAGTAGATGACAACAAATATATATTATATTTATTGCAATATTTATAGAATCATATATTTACAAACTATTAAAATAGCATTAATTATCTATCTATAAAAAATGTAATTATGTAAATAATGTATCAACATAATACAATATATATCTTCTATTGCATGACAATGTAGTTTCTAACAAATTTAGGATATTGCTAATGCCACTATATTGTCTTGCTATTGCTATATTAATTTTCAATGCACCACATGCCATCTTTCTTCAAAACTTTTCAAATCAATCAAATTTTCTTTATTCAATAACTTTTAAACCATTCAATTGAACAATTTTTTTGATTGGAATAAATTATATATATATATATATATATATATATATATATATTTTAAAAAAACATGTTAAGTAAGTAATGGATTGCGGTGACAAAAGCAAAAATTGTGGTGGCATTAGCAATATCCTAAATTTAGTGACACATTTATAAAAGAACTTAATAATACATCAAACTCTTCAATGCAAAGTAGAATATCTCTTTTTTATTTACTAAATATAAAATTTTAAAGTAACAATGTATTCAAGTTGTTCAAAAGATGATTTGTTCTTAGATGAAACTAACTAAAAATAAATAAAATAACATTACAAGTCTAACAAACATACTTAAATGTTTTTCCTTGTCTCTTGAAGTTCAATTCTTTTAGGCTATTGTTTGATAGTAATACATCTTTAAATATAAGTTCATTTTATATTGCCTATTAAGCCTTGCAATTGTTTCAAATGAGTTGCTTGTAAAATTTTAAATGCAAATAACAAAATCTATGGTTCTATTCAATTTAGCCTTAAATTATCACGGAAGTTATGAAATTTGAACCTAATTTGCACTCTTGACACTCATTTCAATAATGAAACATGTTGTTGATTATAATACACACTTGAACTTGAACTATATTTACATACACATAGAACCAAGTCAAGTTGAAATTATGTTCTGAACACAGTATGTAATAAAAACAAGCACAGCAAAATGTCTTTCTTAGATATCAGAACCTGAATAATGTTTGTTTTTTTTATTTTTTATATATATATATCTATATATATATATATATATATATTAAGTGATAGGTTTTTACCCATGACAAATCAAACTCTATATTATTTTTATGTTACTTATTAAGAATGGAAATTTCAAGTTTCAACACAAACATTTACGATGAGCATGTAAAATTGATTGTTATTTTTAGTAAATAAATTATCAAGAGTAAAGACATACACAATTACTGAACTAACTTTAGAAGTAAAGAAACAGGTAAGTGCAATGCATGATATTACACAGATATTAGCCACCCATCGGATGCATAGGGTTAAATTCGTTATTCCCTTTCATCCTTTCATTGTGAGGAACAACAAATTAAGTCTATCATGAAGCTACGCGCTGAGACAGATACATCCCTCATGGCCGCACAGGAGGCCGGTTTCGAACCGCTCACAGCTGTGGAGGTAAGACTCCAAAAAACCCCTTAATTTAGCCGATTTCGATTATCCTGCTTGGCGATAAAAAAATTTACTGCACTAGAGTGTAATGCAATTTTTAGTATGTGTTTATATTTATTGTGAGGCCGAATTGAGTTTGAGCGGCAGCCATCAGGCCGCGCAGGCCGATCGATCATCACGCAGCGTGCACGACATCGTGTTTTCACAGTAATCTCCACGGTGCATCCCGTGCACGATGTGCACCACCAGTAAATGCACGATCATGACAAACCGTTGCCCTAATTGTGTTTCGATCCCAGAATGTCAACTTCCCAGCGATGTCTAGGTCGGCTTGATTCAGACCCACAACTGGAAAATTAGCAGAAAAAAAACACACACACACATGTGCACCCAGTTGATATAATCCGGTGGAAGTTGGTTTCACCGCAACCGAAGACGCCCCGCAGAAACTGATCAGGTTGAAATGAAATGCGACTTTCAGCACCTACCGGTGCAGAAACACAGTATGTCGACGATGAGAGGGTGTGATTTTACACTGCAGGTGCTAAACAAGTTGCCGTGGTGAAGTTGAGCATGAGCAAATTGTGGACCCAGTGGGTTTGTGGAAGCTCGCGCGTGGGTTTCGATTTGTGTGCAGGATTGTACTCTGTATGGGCGAGACATACGGTGAACGAATCCGATGGATATCATGGTGAGCAGTACTAACGATGTCTTATCTCCAATGATTCAAACACGGGCAGACTCGATTACGCATCATGGAGACCGAGGGCCATGGTGTCTCATCATCTGGTTCTGGTTTCCGTCTTCCGTGTTTTTGGAGGCTGCCTCATGATGCCACCATAAATGTGCCAAATCTCGTTTCACTGCAAATTGGCTGGCACTTCAACGCTTGATTTGAGCTTAACTGGACGCCTCATTCGGAAATGTAGAGCTGCCATGTCTTGCTCTTTTCCGTTGCTGATATACGCCAACGTGCAGCCTCCTAAGGGTTTGAGCTTGCTGCTGCGGCGCCGTGTTGTTTGGCGGTTTCTTTTTTATCTTTTTGTTTCCAGGAGTACCTGCTCGCACAGTCAACCTCATAGTTCCCTCCACGCCGGAGAGAAGCATGGCTGTAAGTGTGTCAATGTAATACTTAATTTGGTCTGGCGATTAACGAATCATGTAATTGTTTTTCATCTGCTTCATTGTGAGCTGCGAGATCCAACGTTCTACAGTATTTCATTCGCAGATTTTATTTTATTTTTATGTTTGACTCTAGAATCAATCGAGACTTGAAGTAAAGTGTGTGCACAGTTCAGATTAGTGCTCTTCGTTCCTCGCTGTAGCTCTTGAAGGTTAATGAATAAAAGGAATCGAATTCTCTCTTGCGAAATACTCGACAATCCAGGCGACTGGAATCAAATAGTTAATCGGCAATCGAATGGTATGAGAAGTGGACTTCATGGTTTACAAATAGACACAATGATCCGCGTTGCAGTGGTCGTAAGTTTGGACATTCGAAAGGGCGTAGTGAGTTATTGAGTTTCTGAAGAACTTATCGAATTAATTTTAATTTGCTGCAGAGGCCAAAGCAGACTGTAGCGACCAAAGACCCGAGATGGATGAAGAAATTGAAAGCCTCTCGGGATCACACAAGAAGGCTGGCTGATGGTGATACTGACAGCGGCAGCCTTAAGGAAGACAATATTTCAAAAGAAACATCTAAGAGTCTGCAGGAGAATGAAGGGGAACTTAGCGAAGATTTGTGTGCAAACACCATCTTATCAAATCCTGACGATGTGGGAGACGTGGTTTTAGATTCTTTGGTATAGACTTTGCCGTCCATTGCATTCTTTATGTAAAATCGAGAGTGGTTTTATATTATAAATAAATATTTACACATTTTATTCTAATTTTCTTCATGCTACAAAGTTCCAGAGTCAAAGCAGATTCTTAGCCATAACACTTGCAATTTTCCTACTATGCTCTCGGATTCTCAATAAATTTTCTCGGTACGCTCGCAGTATCCTGACTTGTACAACACTAGGAAGCTCGATGACTAACTAGGTTGTGCTTTTCTGAGAATGTGAAGGAGGTGGAGAAACCGGACGAGCTTTTTAGTCCGGATCTTAACGGATTAACCAAAGGCAGTTCAGTGCGATGTCTTGATGATGGGCGTGTGGAGTCGGCGTTGGTATCCAGAGATGTCGATTGCACTGGTTGCAAGATGGGCAGTAAATCAGGAGGTTATTATTGTACTGCAGGCTGCGGCAAGACCGACCTTTCCGCTTGGGAGGTTATGGAACACCCACATCTGGGAGTAGGGATTTGTAGAGACTGCTGGGGATTCCTCTTCAGCAGCCCTTTCACCAAGGTATCGCCCTTAATGCTTCGAAACGTATTCGTGCATTGATCGTGGGAGATCGTTTTAAAAAGAAACAATGAGTATCTCTCTCAACTGCCATCTGACACCAGATTAGAATATAACTCTCGAATCTAAAGTTCGCACGTGTCGTGCAGTTTATAGAGTGCTCACTTGCGATTTTCTGCAGTGAGAATCAACCAAGGATGTCGGACATGCCCATGCTCAGACAGTACCTTTTCGTTCGATGGAAGTACGTCACATTGTTGGTCCTGACGCTTGAAATCGTGTAGGGCGCGGATGGGTCTGAGGAACAATGCAGATGGTGCGGCCAAGGTGGCAACATCGTCCTTTGCGACAAATGCGATAAGGTGTTCTGCCAGAAATGCATTATGCTCAACTACGGCCCGGTTGATCTAAGTCAGATACTCAACAGCAACTGGAGTTGCTTCTTTTGCAATCCGCAGCCCCTTTGTGGTCTGGTCAAAGAGTTCATAGAGTTCAAGAAAGCGGTGACCTCAAATCATATTCCCGTAAAACGAAGAGCCACTTCTGTCAGAGGAAAACCGTTATCCAGGTATCGCCCAAGCGTTCAGAATGGAAACCCATGTTTGATGCATTCACGTTTCTGGCAAGTCGTCCAGTTTGACCGATGGCATGAATTCCTGAAATTCTCAGGGGACACCTTCGGTTTGTATTTTGACCAAACAGTATGCTTAATGGGTCATGTTAGATAGGGGCTGTCAACTCTTCAACCGAATCATGCCTCCTGCACTAAACGATAGCATTGCAAACTTGGATACTTGTGCACAGGGGCGTAAGGAACGTTCTGGACGACAGCGAGCTTACCATCGCAGACTTGTTGGCTCAAGAAGAGGTTAGTATGTGATTCACCCCTGCAAAATAATTTTCTTTCACATGCATTCCGAACCTTGCATCTCAGCCCTACTCTTTTCAAATGATTGCACGTCAAATTCGAAAAATGCTACGGCTTCGACAGAAGAGATGTTTTTAAGTAACCTTTCGACTCACTTTGAGACGTGGCAGGAGCGACGAAAGAAACAGAATCCCGATTGGGCTGCAACTCGGAACGTCCGTCCTAGAAAAAGAAAAGCTCCACTTAATCTCAAACAAATTGGCGAGAAAGGCAGCCTTGCAACTGAAACAAGACAGCGTAAGGACACTCTCACTCAAGTTCCTTCTGCACCGCAATCAAGCCAGTCAAAGGTCTACATACGACCTCATCAGGTTCGCTTGTATTCAACATCCTTTCTAGCGTATAAAAAAGATAATGTGTTCACATGTCAACGCCGATCAATCCCCATGTTGCTTTGTAAATGTCATGGATCTTCAAAAGTTTCATTTGAAAGAATCTCTCGATGGACATGCCTCATGGCCAACGATACATATTAGGGTGGTCTCATCGGTAGTTGAATGATCGGCCTTATCTGTATAAACGTTTTCAATGCGTGTTTGAACTTGATGGCACTCTAGGTCATAGAAATGCGTCAAGTGGCAGCAGAGAGAAGAAAACGCGCTCATGAAGAGGCTGAGATTGAGCGTCGAAAGTGCATCTCCAGTCCGGTATTTAATGGTCCTAAGGAAGATAACGCAAACACACTTGCAATCCCAAAACAGAATCTCCTACCGCTGAAGTCAGAGTTTCCTTCAGAAGTTGTCGGCGACGGAAGCGAAATGAAGAAGACGATTATCTTCCTCGAGAACAAGAATGGGACTTCGGCCCCACATGCATACATGTTCGGGAACATCCCCAGAAACCTCTTCGCAAATTTCTCTCAAGTTTACACGTAAAAGACCAAATGAGGTAGCAGCCCCTAAACGCAACTGAGACAAGATCACGCAGCAATTTGTGCCCGAGCAATGTGCTAGCTCTCCAATAGCAAGTACATAAGCTGAATCGTGTTTGCCAGGAATCGAGCATCTAATCGAGCCAATCTAACAGCAAGAAAGTACCATTATGAGTGTTATGATTATTATTATTATTATTATTATTATCATCGTTAGCTTGCATATACTTACACAGGAACTAAATTACATATGAGGTTGATGCATGTTTTCGAGCAAGCTGGTGTTTCGAAGACATGGTTGTGACCTTTGTAGGAACTAAATTACATATGAAGTTGATGCATGTTTTCGAGGAAGCTGGTGTTTCGAAGACATGGTTGTGACCTTTGTAGGGACGCAGTTCACGTTCAAGCGAACTATACAGACAACGAAAGTATATTAACCTTTTCATTTCTCCTTACCAATGTATGGAAGTGAGAATGAGAGTTCAAACCCACTTCTCTTTTCGGTGTAACAGTTCATTCAAGATTCAGTCAGGGGATTTCTCGTCAAAGATCGCACATCGTATGCTATACCTCATGTACACTATGCAACGCCAGTGCTACGTGACAGCTTCCGTAGTGAAAACGGCGCGTTTAACTCCTTCTTGTGCCAGTGTATTGAATAATCATCTAAAAGTTACACACAAGGTGTTGCCGCTTCCCATTTCCAAGAGATGGAAGAGATGGCCTAGTCATGGAAGCGCACCCTCTCGGCATCGCAACCAAGGGTTTCTGGCGAAAAACCCAGTGCACATGACTGGGAGAGCGTCGGTGATTTGAGCCGGTCTTTGTCCGCCGAACATCGAGCATTCAACTTGCAGCGTCCATAACTGATTGGATAACGCGATGACCTGTTAAAATAGGTCCACGGACTGGAAAACAACGATCGCAAACAGTATCCCTAAAACCTTTCGTTGTTTTGGATCACTACGTAACGAAACTCGTCGAATCCTCATCCCCAATGTTCTTCTGAAGGCATGGATTCACGCTGGGGAACCACACTCTCCACCGTGCACCTCCCATTTTCTTATCTTACACGTCCATCATCCTCCGGGTCTACTTTGTAGGGACCTCTGGTTCCCACCAGTTCTGCAGTCGACTTCGTTACTGCTACCACAACCACGGGTGTGTTGCAGTTGCACTCCGGCTGTTGTGGTTGACTGGGGTTTGCGTCCTCAACTGGGGTTTTTGGAGGATTTTGTGAAGTTGGATTTGTCGAATTTGCTGGGGTGAGTCTTGTGCTCTTTTGGAAGCTGGACATTGTAGTTTAGATTTGAGGAGAAATGGCGGTAGTTGGCTCAGTGGCTGCTCTTCAAGGTGTTGCTGCTCTCAATGTCTCAAGTAGCAGCAATGCAGCTGTGGTCTCCACAGCCTCCTCGGCTTCGGCCATGTTCGGCTGCATGCCAGTTTTGAAGTCTAGGTCAAGCCCTTACCTCCGAAAAGTTTCTGCCGTGTCTGTACGGGCCGTTTCCTTGGATCCGTTGTCGGGGATGATGGACACCGAAGGATTTGGAGAGGGGATGGACCTAGGTCAAAGGGAAATCAGGCAGTACCCTCCTGGCTTGCAGCGCTACGAGACCATGACCGTGTTGCGTCCCGACATTACCGAGGAACAGCGCCTTGCTCTCACACAGCGCTACGAAGAGGTAGGTATCCATTACGAGGTTGCCTGAATGGAGTACGGTTATCTTCTAGTGGTTATTGTCAATTATAGACTTTAAACCTATGTGATTCAGGATTGAAGAGCTTTGATGGGATCGAATTGACTAGCGAATAGGGTGCTTCTGAGGGCACTGTTCGTGAGAATGCATTTGTAGTGGGTGGTCTTTCCTGTAATTTTGCATTTTCATACCTATTGCGCATTCCAGGATCTATGTAGTTACCATGTAATTTATCAAGCTTTGAAAACAAAATTAATGTCCATTATCTTATCTGAATCTGAATCATGCGGGGCTATGCGAGTTATTTTACGCTTCAACCGGGAGTTTCTGCTAATAAACTGAGTGTTAAGCAAATGAACCCCTGTTTTTTTCTTAGGTGTGATACATCCATTAGTGCAGGTATACTGGCATTTCCCTGAGTTCTATTCCGTTCGGGTGTTCGCTCTGTAGGAGTTAAACAGTACCAAATCTCGAAAACACCATGCGAAAGCATCTGTCTTTCATGAATAACGGCTTGTTTTACCCACCGATAAGCTCGCCACTTCTATTGTTGGTAGTGATCATGTGTGTAACTCTACTCAAATTTTATGGTGTTACTTGTTTGCATGTAAGTTATAAGTTTATTTCTGACAGATATGCAAGAATTGGTCCGAACTGTAAAACTGGAAATAGACGTATAATTATTCTTAAGTCCTGTTGTGCGTATCTGTATGCTTTTGGTGCATGTACTCCTTCGCACAAATAATTTCTGTGTAATAAGTCTCGAATTTAAGGTTGTACCTGTGTCCATCGATTTAGACCACGCTGGTTTTACATGTCTGAGCCTTCATACTTCATTCGGGTCTGGTTTTCTGCTGGCTTGCCCCCTTTGACATTGAATGCTCCGCCCTGATTTTAAGTTGCTCCCTTGGGACTTCTTTAGCACATCCCAAATGAATACTGTCTATGTTAGGTTTGCCCTAACTGGGTTTGTGGTTGTGTAGTCCATCATCGCTGGAGGTGGATTGGATGTGGAGATGTTTAACAGGGGTATGCAGCCCTTGGCATACAACATCAAGACCAAGAACATGGCAGGTTTTGCAAACCGATACTTGGACGGAATCTATTTGTTGTTTACATATGTGACCAAGCCAGAAAGTCAAAAGGCTATTCAGGATAGGCTGAACCGGGACGATGATATTATCCGCTCCACAACATTCAGGTTGAAGGCTTAGTGAAGGTTTTGACACTTTAGAGTAAAATGACAGATTTGAGTTTGAGAGCTATTCACCATCCTTCACTCGTTATTTTTGGCCTTGACACTGGTGTTATCAATACTCATTAGGAACATCTGATAGGAAAATCAACCAATCATTGTGCAGGGTCATGTGAACTTGACACACAGACTGATGGTTTTTTTGGATAAATGCTTACCATTATATTTCAGAACACTCAGTTAGATTTTCTGCGTCCGTTTGCTAATTGCATTTTTACTTTCTTCGTGTAGATGTAACACTATGACCATCACAAAGTGTTCTTCCCATGTGCTCAATGTTTAGGAGCGTGTTATTTCCACCAACAGTTCAGGTGGACAACGTAATATATTCACCCAGTTGCAGTTCATAAATCTTGTTTTGTCTACTTAAGCAATAATGGCCATGTCGAGTCCTCCTGCTTCAATTTTCTTCAAATTGAACCGCAATTGAAATCACAAACTCTACATTGAATTTCTTTCTTTCTTTAGTTTATTTATTTTATATATTTGTTCAAATTTAAGAAAAATTCATGATACATTTCATATAATTATTTACTTTTCTTTAAAAGGCTTATTAGTTTCATTTAGAAAATCTATTAGTGTAAATTTATTCTCAAATTGTTTAGTAAAAATCAGAGTTTTATTGCATACATGGAAGGATGTGTGGCATAGAAGATGTCAACCTAACAAATCCCTATATATATATATATGTATATATAATGAAACTATTAAGAAGAAATATAATTATTTTACCTTTTAACAACAAGTATCATCTTTTCAACAAGCTTCAAATAGATGCTTATCCTTCTTCTTTACATAATAAATAATTAAAAACAAAACAAATGTAGATAATTGAATCTTAAATTGAAAAGATGTAAATACTTGAAAATGTGAATATTGTCTTGATGATTTGGAATAACTAATGTAAAAGAGGTTTTATTTTTAGAATAAAAAATAATTAAAAATAATTTTTTGAATATAATCACACTACATTTAATGTACAATAAATTGAATGATGACAATGTAGATTTTACTACTAAAACATATCAAATAGAGTTTTATAAAACAAGTACACAACTTGCACTTTGACCTTTCTACTTCATTTATTTGTCATTTATGTATCATGGATATACTACATGAAAGATTGAACAAGAAGTTGAACAGAAGAGTTTCAACAAAAAAACTAGTAAGAACTTGATTAAATCAAATGAATACAAGATCAACATTGAAATGAGTTAGAATTCTCAGTAATGTATTGTCAAGATTGAGGATTCCTTCATCCTTGACTCATATATATTAGGTATTAAGAAGCTTCTTGAGAAGTTCCCATGTTGCCTGAAGATGAAGCAAGCCTAGGAAATTTCTCAAACAACTTTCTTAATCTTCCTAGAACTTTTTAGAATCTATCATAATATTTTAAGAATCTTCTATAACTTCTCATTAGAATATTCTAAAAAACTTTTGAAATCTTCTAGAACATGATAGAATATTCTAAAAATATTTCTAAAATCATTTTATTGGATATCTGTAATACAATATATATATTTACAGACATAGATATTAAGTGGATGCTTCAAATTTTGTGAACAACTTATTGATAAGTAATTCATTGTTGAAAGATCCTAAAATATTGATAGGAAATTTACAAGGTTAAGAATAAGAAACTTCAACAAAAATAAATAAATAAATAAATAAATAAAATTATTAATAAATAATCTCAAAAAGTTAAAGATTTAGGATTTATTAAAAAAATTAGTATAAAGAGCTATTTAGAATTACTATTCATCTAATACAAGATACTAGTTGAATATCTATTTTGTAATGGTCCTTCAAATCAATGTGTTATTATAAGATCAACAAATTTTAAAGAAAATTTGTTAAAAAAAAAGTTAAGTTATTTTTTCTCAATCTAAATAAAATTTAGTCAAAATACATCAAATTAAATATCCATCAAATTATAATCATACATTTATTACTATAAATAATCTATCAATGATGGAATATGGTTTGTTAACAATTTTTTTTATATATTTTTTTATAATACATAAGTCTATTTTTTAAATATACTTACCATTTAATTCCTAATATTCTAACTTATTTAAATTCTAAAGGTAGTAGTTATAAGGAAGGTTCCAACTTTGGTTCTACTTAGAGATTTATGATTTTTAGAATATTCTTAGAATATTTAAAAATCTCATATTAAAATATTTTATAATCTTCTAAAATTTAATAGAATATTTTGAGAATATTTCTAAAATCTTCTTGTTGAATATCTATAATAAAACCTTTTAATATAATTATGTAACTGAGTCTAAATTCATGATACACACACAATTTTTTTTTAATTTTTTTAACTTTTTTCTTTTATAACTCTAAAAAACTTTAATAATAGATTTACTTTAAAATTAAAAAGATTTTTTAAAATATAAATCCCAATTTATTTATGAAAAACATAATTACTTAAATCCATTCTTATCTTTGTAGAGTTTTATCAAGGATATGAAGCTCAAAGAAAGAAATCTTCAATATACTCTTATGTCACTCAAAAGAACTAGAAAGTCACTCAAAGATCATATAGTATTAAACTAAAATGACTATTGCCAAAGACAAGAAGACTAGAAAGTCTTAAAATAAGACTAAGGACTAGAAAGGTATTGAGAAGAATGAAGAAGGCTTTATTTTTGCCTCCATATATATTCTCTAATTAAAAGCTACATAGTAATGTTCTATAGGACCAACAACACAAGTTGACTTTGTTAGCCACATATCTTAACTTATAAGACAAGTTATCTATGTATATGTTATATAGTTAGCTTGTTCTATAAGCTACAACATGTGTGGTATATTGTTAATTTGTTGACCAACTTTCTAACCTACTAATCAATTACAAATACATATATAAAAAAAACCACATATAAAAAGCTTCTATGAAGCTTCTCAAGAAGATATTATAAAATTAATTAATATTTATCTATTTCTATCTAATCATAAAGGTAATTATTAAAATAAATACATATGCCTATAATATTATCCCTCCTTCTAGGGACAAGTTCCAAAATGAGCAATCATCATCTTTCATGGATCTTGTTATTTTTTATCTTAGTTTTATTAGATGTTATTGATAAAAAAAGCCTCAACTTTCTTTGCTACATTTATAAGATTCTTAGTTGGCTCTCATATGTGTTTACTAATATTATATCAATACCAATGAACAAGATATTCCAACTTATTTCGGCACTGCTTTAAATTCAAGACTTCTTCCACCTCAAATTCTTAATTATTATCCACTTGTATAGGATGAGTTGGCATTTATCTTCTTTCTGAGATATTTATTGTCTTATATGGCTTAAGAAGAGATACTTGGAATATAAGATGGATCTTCATATACTTTGGTAGATTTAGTTGATAAGCAATAAGTTTGACTTATTTACTAAAAAGAAAAGGTTTAAGCCTATGATAGTCTAATTTGTCACAAGAACAAGTAGTCTTCATATTACATCAAAGTAGCCATACCTTGTCACCTACGTTGAATTGCAATTGTTTCTTGTAGTAAGCATCCACATTAATTTTTTGTGGTTCTTGAGCTTTCTTTAATTATACCTTCATTTTCACATGTAATTATGGCAAATGATTTGTTAAATCTTTTGCCATAGGTTTATCAACTTTTAAAAAGTCAAAGCATTAAATCACAGATGATAACCATAATTGGCCAAAAAAGATATTTGTTGACTAGAAGAATGTACCAAATTATTATATGCAAACTATGCCAATGACAAAAGAATTGTCCAATCTTAATGATAATTGATGGTAAACTTCAAATACTACTTCAAAATTTAATTCTTCTATTTTTTTTGCCTATTAATTTGAAAATAAAAAATCAAAGAAAGCTTTATATCCACCCTTAAAATCTTAATATAAATTGAGTCCATTTATTTGATATAATATCTTTTGACAATCTATAATAGCAATAGATGTTGTCAAGAAAAAACTTAGTTGTTTCTTCATTTGTGATAGAATTTTCATAAGGTACAAAATAAGCCATCTTGATAAAAAAATCTACTATCACAAATATAGAATCATGCAAACTTGAGATTGAAAGATCCGTGATAAAATTGATAGAAATAGAGGACCATGATTGTTTCAAAAAATGTCCAACTATTAGAAAGTCATGATGAGCTTAAAAAACACACAATTGTGCTTTATTTTTTGGAATATATAATCATTCCTTGAAATATAATAGGTTGTTCTTGAATTCAAACTTGGAAATATTACAAGATTTAATAGAAGTATTCTTGATATCATAAACAAGAGGATCAAGGCATTGTTATGAACATACATATGTAAACCAATAATTACCTATATGATTTAGATGATAGTAGATAAAAATAGGTTAATTCCATAATATCTTCTATAATAACTTCCTACAAGCTTCGTAGACACTGCTTTGACTTTATAGGTGTCGATAATTGATTTCTTAGATTAGAATCATGGTCAACAAGTTGGCCATGTGCCACACATGTTAGTAGCTTTAAAAACAAGCCAACTATATAGCCTACGTAGAAAACTTGCGTTACAAGCTAAGGCATGTGTCTTGCAGAGTCAACACATATTAGAGGTCCTATAGAACATTGCCATGTAGCTCCTAGTTAGATAATATACATAGAGGCAAGAATGAAGCACTCTTCATTCTATTCAACTCCTTTCTTGCTTCTAGTCTAGATATAAGAGTCTTTAGTTTTCTTATCTTTTGGCAATAGTCATTTCAATTTTCTATTAATATATATACTATTTTATTGCTATTTTTTGATTTTTTTTTAATACAAAATTTTTAAGTTTATACATCTTTTTCTAGTTCATGTCCTTGATAGATTGACAAGAGTACACTACAATATTAAAGCTTTGTCTTTTCTTGATTAAGAGTGGATTATCTTTTTTTCTTGATAAGACATAAATGTATTAAAATTTGGAGATTATCTTCTTTTAAATTAATATTGTTCTTAGTATCTTTTTAGTTTTCAAGTCCCATCTTCTGTTTGTCTTGAGCAATATTAGATATTTATTTTTTAAGTATTATTATGGCAAAGCTTCTTGAAATGAAGAATGTAATGGCACAAATATAAGAGCAATTGAAGGAATTAATACTTACGATGCATCAACTTTGTTTATCACCACAAGAAGCAAAAAGAATAGTGGGAAGTAGAGATATAGATATGATTGGAGCTGCTTCAACATCTACATCCAACCATGTCCTTTCTCCTATGATGGAATATCCCTTCGGTACTAAAGAACCAAAAGTTGTCTTGCCTAAGAAGTTTGATGGTATAAGATCCAAATTTAAAGGATTTATCAATCAAGTACAACTTGTGATTGAA